TAGACTAAAATCCCCAATTCGGTCCTATCGTTTGGGTGCTGATGTGTAGATGTTAGCCCTCAGGTGAGGGGAACGTGGAAGCTCCAAAGTGAGAGTCGGTATCCTCCCAGCCTAGCCGCAGATTCAATAAATAAGTGTAGGATTAGTCAATGTTCTTTATGCCTGGACCAAAGGGTGAAGAATATGTATGCTCCTATTTGGCACAATATAAATTGAACTAATTCATTTTATCCATTCACTATAATTTCTTGACAAGGAGAATGATGCTTTCTTATATATTAAATATCACAATTAAACCCTTCTTAGTATCATTAGTTATTTAATAGTTATTAAAATTAACTATTTATTTCAATTGCCTATTAGTGACAGATAAGCAAATTGAACTTCGTTGTTGTGAGTAAAGTATTGCTTTTCTAAAATCTTAGTTCACAGTTCTAAACCACTCCCTGTGGGATCGATATCTAGGACTCCATTAGAGCCCTATAGTACTTGAGCGATATATATACTTGCGTTGATAAGTGTGACTTTACAATTATTGAATATTTATTACGTCCATATTTATCTTATATTTTAAGCATATAAAAAGTCGCCGGTCACCTTATACCTTAGGTTCTACCCAAATTAAACCTACACCATCTCATACATTAGGTTCTACTTAAATTGAACCTAAATCATCTCATTCCTTAGATTCTACCCAAATTGAACCTAACCATCTCATACCTTAGATTCTACCCAAATTGAACCTAAACCATCTCATACCTTAGGTTCTACCTAAATTAAACCTATATCATCTCATACCTTAGTTTCTACTTAAATGAACCTAAACCATCTCATATCTTAGGTTCTACCCAAATTAAACCTAAATCGTCTCTTAACTTAGGTTCTACCCAAATTGAACCTAAACATCTCGTACCTTAGGTTTGACCCAAATTGAACCTAAACCATCTCATACCTTAGGTTCTACCTAAATTGAACCTAATTGAGCTCAAGCTTTAGGTTCTACTTACATTGAACCTAAACCCTAAGTCTAACTCATATTTGACTTGAACAAATCTCCTTTAGACTCTGCTTACATTGAACCTGAACCTTAATTATAGATCATATTAGACTTAACCAAAATCTCATTTAGGTTCCATCCACATTGAACCTAAACTTTAAGTCTAATCTCAATTAGACTTAATCAAATCTCCTTAAGTCTAACCAACATCAGACTTAAACTTCAAAGTTAAATTAACATTAGGTTTAACTCAATTCCTTTTGAGTAAGTTTAATCTTAAAAATAATTTAAAATTGATGATTCAAATTTACATCTAAATCACAAATCTACCGACATGACAACAAACAAAATTCGTGGCAAAGTACAAAAAACATAAAACCCACTATGAAAGACATTAAAACTTAAATTTGAACCCTTAAATGCAACTAGGTTTAGGAAGTTATTTTGGAGAAGGTTACCCATGGTTGCTAACAAAATATCTTCCAGTCATTTGTGACCAATCAAAAAATGACAGAACCATAGGATCCTGATCAGGTCATCCTAAATAAAAATAAAAAACAAAATGACAAAAAAAAATAATTGGCTAATAAATCGTAAACAACCTACTTTCAACCTTTAAAATCCAAAAAAGACACTAAAACTTAAACTGAATCCTGATGAACAAAGATCACCAAACACAACTTAAAACTATGAGATCAGATCTACGAAGATTATTTGAACGACACAATTTGTGGTTGCTGACAAGAATCTTCCGCTCCTGGTTTAATTACCTTTCGGACTAAGTAGGTCTGAATACCCCAACGACCCCGGGATGACGGAGTCATAGACATCTTGACGAGGTTGTTTAAAAATTATTCAACCAACTAAATCAACAAATTAAAACATAATCTCATGCTAATTTTTTTTTTGCAGGTTTGCTGAAGACATAAGCAAGTCACGTTTTAGATTTACTTTGCTTGCTATTAGGATGTGACTCTGTTTTGCAGGGACGACATTCTGAAGATGAAATAGTGAATCTTAACAAAACAAAACAACAACAACACAACAAAAGGACACAAAACAACAAAACGACATCAAAATAACAAAACGACATCAACACAATCAAACAACATAAACAAAACAACAACAAAACAATCAAACGACATTAACAAAATAAAAAGACAAAACAAAACCTTTAGGATTGTTTTAGATTCTTAGAAATCTATTGCCCTAAGGATTGAACATTGACGTTTCTTTCCTTGATATTGACACTTATAATTTCTTCGAGAATAAATGCTTAACTTTAATTGAGATTTTTCTTAAGCTGTTTCAACTACTTAAGATGTAATTAGCTATATGAGCTTGCTCTTATAGAAGATTAAGAAACTCATAATAGGTATTATACCTAACTCTCTGGTTATGAGATTTTCATGTGATTGAATTTCAGGAATTAGACACTTCCGAATTCTCTACCATAATGAAATCCATCGATTCACAGGGGTCGTTTTGGTTACAAGTAGAATTTAGTTGAAATAGAATTTAATAAATTATGTAAATTCAAATTTATCAAATTCAGATATGGTTAAATCCTAAAAACAGTTTGATATGCTAGTAAATAAATTATGATAAATCATAATAAATAGTTTCATAACTATAAAAAGATTTAGCAGGATTTATCACAAGGGACATCCAAAGATAAATATTAAATAACAAAAAACAAATGAATATCCAAAACTTCAAAGTACGTAGAAACTAGCTTTCACATTTAATTATATAAGTTAATAATTAATAAATTTTGTGTAGACAAATTAATTATTTAATATTAATATTATATTATTAGCTTTTAATTAATTGTTGATTATATAAATTAAAATTACTTAAATTTTAATTTAATAATTTATAACTTAAATATATCTTTATTCTTTAATTAAATATTAAATAATTAGATATAAATTATCCAATTATAATTAATTGAATAGTATATAAAGTAAATGATAAAAATTAATCAGTTAAATTAATAAAATTAACTTAAAAAAATAAAATAAAACCACAGCCTAATCTCCCTCTTCCTCCTGCCCAAAACCCTCGCCTGTCGCCTCCATCCACCCGCTCTCCCGCTCTCGCCTCTCTTGCCTAAACCCTTGCCTACATCCTCCCCCTGCCGTTTTCGCCCAAAACCATTGACTTCATGATCGAACCTTTGCACAGCCATCATAGCTAGCTGGGAAGGCAGCGACGGGATCGTGGCTTACAGAAACTACCGAAACTCTCATTTTCTCATCCGTCCTCTCTGCTCCTACCAGAAACCATTGAGACAGGTAAGCCTTTTGGCCCCATTCTTCCTCTTCGCTCATCCGGATTTACTAAATCCGCCTATTCACACAGGATTCAGTAAATCCCGTATTTATCGTGAATCGGCGTCATTTTGGGATTTACCGGAGCTCAGGATTTACGAAGGCTTTTTTTGTGCCGCGGTACCGTTTGGATCGCACAAAACGCGGTTCCATTTTTTCCGCGGGAGCGGGCTGCGTTTTCAGGATAAGCTGTTTATCCTGAAACGCTCAAGCTGCCCCAAACGCAGCCTAAATCCTGCGTAAATCCTGCTTAAAACCGGCTACCAAACAGCCCCTATTAAGTGTTTAACACTGGACGGTTTTTTATGTTTACCATTGTGAAACATAATCTCTTTTCCTGAAATTCTTGTTATTTTCCTTGTCACAAAATTTATAGGCTTTCATGTTCTTAAGCCCCATAGCTGTCAAATTGTTTTTGTTGATGACTTAAGAGTTGGTTGTTTACTTATGAATGATTGCTGCTCAACCATTGGGTTGAAATTTTTTGCTTGAAAGGGTTGCGAGAACCTACTGTGTGTATAGAGATAGTACTTGGGTTTTGGTGTCTGTGTTGGTTTGAATTGGGTATATCAAGTATGTTGGATGGCAGAAGCAATATCATATGTCATGCTATTGGACAAATGAGTGTTGAATAAGTGGTGGGCTTCTTTGAAATTGTTGTGATTGGAGTACTGCTATGGGACATTAGGTCACTTGTCTGATAGAGGTTAATATGCTGTGAAATCTGTGTAGTTTTGATTCTTTCATTGAATGATTTAATTTTTCAATTCAGAGTTTATATTGAGTTGAGCACAATTAAGCTTACATAAACTTGATACATTTTGAGTCATGTTAACTAACTCGAAATCCATCAATTTTGAATCCTAGCAGAATCAAACTTTGGGTCCGTTTGGGGCGGCGGTGCGGTGGCGGTTTTGATAGTTTTTTCTGTTTGGGTAAACTGCATTTTGACAGTTTTTTCAAAAAGCTTCCATTGAAATCTACGTTTTCCCATAGCTCCTGGTTATGTGCGGTGGCAGCTTTCTAGTTGCGGTCTGACTTTAAAAAAGAAAATTTGGTGATAACCACCACAGCTTTTTGAGCATTAGCTTATTATTCAACAGCTTTAAAACTGCTTTTTAATAAACTGTAGTTGTCCCAAATAAACCCTTCAACCACACACATACCTTTGTTCTTTAGAATCAATAATCATAATAATGGTGCTAGGGACGGACATATGCTGCGACAAATACTACAATATGATATAAATGTAAAAGGTAGGTTGTAATATGCTATGGATATATTATACTCTTTTGTAAATTATTAGCACAAAATTTCAATTTTTAGCATTTTGTATTAGCATTTTCTATTATAGGCATCATACAATGAAACATAATATAATATACTTTGGCATGAGAAGCTTAATAATAACAAGAGAAAAACAAAATATTATCAATAAGAATAAAATTCCGTCATCGTTTATTAGTCATTAGCCTTTCAATCCAACTACAAAAGAAAAACACACACTTTTAATAACATAAGAACTACCACATCAAGAATATTATAAAATTTTAGTTTAAGATTTTGTTTTTGGCATGTGTGCTAATAAAGAAAATATATTAGGAGACTGAAAATAGAAATATAAGTAAGAAAAAGTCCGTGCAAAGATGTATTCTTCCATTTTCTCTTTATGTGTCTTCTCTCACCATTTCTTTACATGCCCAAGTGACATGCGAGAATGGTGATCTTTTCTAGAATGGTTTTGTATTTTGTGTGGTGTTTGATAGGATCTACCTATGTGGTGCTTGATAAGATCTATTGATATAATTTTTTATGAAATTAGTTGATGCCTCTTGATTAAGTATGTCTGTGATTTCCTCTTGATTTCCCTATTATGTATTTACATTGGGAAGTTTTTACAATATATGTATTTTAGCTGTTTATGTTTGAGTTAACAAGAGTATTTGATCTTCGTTACCTTGTCTTCTATGTTAGACATGCAACAACAACAACAAGCCTTTGTCCCACTAAGAGGGGTTACTTACATGAATCCTTTTTCTACACTGCGTCCTATTGAGTGGCATGTTTTTATTTAATTTCTAATAATATATGATCACTTTTTATACAATATGCCCAAGCCTTTCTAGGTCCAGCTCTATCTTTCTTAGCATAAATCTAATCTAAAACATCAACTCTCCTGACCGGATCATCAGATGGTCAGCGTTTAATGTGATCAAACCTTCTAAGACGACTTTCTTTAATTTTGTCCGCCACTGGAGCTACACCAACCCTATCACAAATATATTCATTTCACATTTTGTAAATCTCTCTGTTATTCTTAGAATGGAGTCATCTGGAAGCCAATCTTCCGTTTTTTAATAATGTCCGTGAAAAGATATACCCAACATGGAATTATTTCACTAAATAAAACTTTTGATGGGAAGAAACAATTTAAATGTTTGCTTTTTGATTTGATATATAAAGGTGGAAGCATAAATAGGATGAAACATCTTCTTGGGGTTAAGGGATATTGCATAATGTAAAAAAGTTTCATTTAATATTTGCCGTCTATTTTTAAAAATTTTAAAATGATATTAAAAAAAAAACAATAGGCACAAGATGAGAAAGATAATATTCACCCATATGGTGAACATATCATTGAAGAAGAGAGATGCTCTTCTCATTGTAAATCACAAAGGTTAATTATTCATGAAAAAAGATTAGACATAGGAAAAAAGAAAATTGGATGAAATTGACAATTATTTTCCTCCTGAAACCAAGCCTAACTCGCAACATTGATAAGTTTGGTAGACATCTAATAAAGTTGTATGAAGAACTGATATGGTACATGTTAGATGGTTTTTTGATAGTTGAATTTGTTCAATGCATTAAACTCACATTTTGCTTGAAAAGCTATTTACACAATAGCTTCAACTAGTCCTAGTTATCAGTTGCTTTCATACTATCTAATGACAGTGAATTTGCTTAGAGATTATAAAGAAGAATGTAAGCTTCTCATTTATTCTTATAAATGATGTTGGAGAGAAAGATGTACTTGGATGACTAATGGATGGACAAACACAAGGAACAAATTATTGATAAAATTTTTAGTTTATTGTCCCAGAGTTATATGTTTTTTAAAATTTATCGATGTTTCTGATATCATGAAAGATACAACCACTGTGTTCTTTATTTGTTGAAGTTGTTAAAGGGTAAGTTCAGAAAATATCGTTCAGCTTGTGATTGATAATGAAGCAAACTATAAAGAAATATGATATTTATTACATAAAAAATATGGTAATATTTATTAGTCTCCTTATGTTGCGCATTGCTTGAATTTAATTTTAAAAGATATTGATTGCTTGTCTTATATAATGGAGCTTGCTAAATGCACATCGAAGGTAATAATATTTATTTCTAATCACATTTTTATTAGTTGAGAAAATGATCAAGTTGGATAAAAGTTGTGTGTCTTGGATTAACTCACTTTGCAACAACTTTGATTACATTAAAATTTCTTATGTACATAAATATATTTACAAGCACTTACTAATAGCAAATGATTTACAGATTCAAAATTGGCAAAAACTACTAATGAAAAAGATGCAAGCTCTATTATTTTGGATAGCAGGTTTTGGAATGATTGCCTAATCATATAAAAAATATTCAGGCCACTTGTAAAGTTATCTTGAATAATTGATGCGGATGAGAATTCATTACTCGGGTATGTCTATGATGGAATGTATAGAGAAAAAAAAAATCAAAGACATTCAGAATGGTAAAAATGTTATACAAGTCATGTACAACAATCATTATACCATGAATAATTGATGTGGATGAGAAGTCAACACTTGGGTATGTCTATGATGAAATTTATAGAGCCAAAAAAATAATTAGACATTCAGAATTGTAAAGATGTTATACGAGTCAATCACAAGCATCACTAAGAGGAGATGAGATGATCATGAATAATTGATGTGGATGAGAAGTCCTCGCTTAGGTATGTTTATGATGCAATTTATAGAGCCAAAAAAATAATTAAAGACATTCAGATTTTTAAAGATGTTATATGAGTCAAACACAAGCATTGTTAAGAGGAATTGAAATGATTAACTTCGTCAATGTATTCACTTTGCTACATATTTTTTGAGTCCACACGTTGAGTATGATCATGAGATTTATTTTCAGATACTCGAAGTCATGTAAAATTTAGTTGAATTTATTGGAAATAATAATGTATGTGCCAAGCCTACATTTGCAATGAATGAAGTTATATTTTATTGAGATAAGTTAGAAAGTTTTGGGAAGCCAATTACTCTGTCTATAACAAAAGAAATACAATCAATTAAGTTTTCAAATTTCAATAGTGATTATTAAAATTCATTTCTAAATTTGCAATAAATAAAATTCAATTTTATTTCTATAACTTCTTAAAGTTAATCATAACTAATATTATGTAGTTGAATAATGAAAAATGTTTGGTTCTAGTGTTCTAAATTTTAAAAGTTGGTTATTTGTATTATAAACCAAACATTTTTCGCCTGAATGTGAAAATTTGAGTGTTTTTAAGCAAATTCATACAAAATGAATAAATCATGTAGAACATCGAAGACTAAATGATTTAGTATATGTTCTATACAATCTTAATTTGAAGATAGTTATACTCACCAATAAGTTTTTTTTTAATATTTATGTGATATTTCTTTTAATTGAGAATATAATTTATTATTTTAATGTATAGGTTGTGCTTCCAAAGAAGAAGTTATGATTCATTGAATTACACAAGTATTGAAGTCATAGCTTTGAATTATTGAATATGAATATTCTCCTGAACAATTAGGATGATCTGAAAAATAAAATTTATAAAGTTAATGCAATTCCAATTACTAAAGGGTTGAATATAGAAAACTATAAACATTTTAATAATAAGTTTTTAATTTTATTAAATTTGATCGTCTTGTTGAACATAATTTTTCAAATTTAATTTAGATGTGGGTGAATTTGTTGATACTATAGATGAAGTAATGGAACATTTGGATTTAGATACTTTTGGGGAGACTCTTTTTAAGGATGAAATACTTGGAGAGCCAACATTTGAGGAAGAACCTTAAATATGCTTAATTTTATACTAGATTATTTGTATGAATGTCATATTTGATAACTATTTATTTGTTTTGTGCTTGAGAGATAACTTTCGGGAGTTTGATATCCTTTTTATTTGGTTTCTTGAGAAACATTTTGGGAGTTTGATATTTTTTTTTTTGGGTGCTTCTTGAGAGACATTTTTTTTGGGTGCTTCTTGAGAGACATTTTTTTTTGGAATGGAGTACTAGATTACTGGTCTTCATACAGTAATAACTTTTTTTGGGTGCTTCTTGAGAGACATTTTTTTTGGAATGGAGTACTAGGTTACTGGTCTTCATACAGTAATAATGTGTCATATTTATTGATTTATTGTTCTTCTAATTTATGAGCACTTTTACTCGCTATAATTTACTATATTTTAATGCTATTGAGTACTCAATATTATTTTTTTCTTTTATTTGCTTGTATATTTTTTTCTAGTTGATGCTAACTTTTTTTATTTTTAATTATTTTTTAGAGAAATAATTTTGTAAAAGATTGGAATGGAATAGTTTAAGGATTCAACATTGCTTTTTGCTAAGAAAAATGTTAATCATTTAAATGACTTGTTTAAGTTCATATATGATTTGTATTGCATGATGTATTTTTATATTACACATTACGACTTTATTATGTCATTTAAGTTTTACTTATTTTTTATAACATTTATGACTTCTCCCAACTTGACCTCTAGTTCAATCTTTAAACCTTGAATCTCCTTGTCTACCAGTTTAATGTACAATTCGATTTTTAAAACCTTTTGTGAACTCTCACTTTCCACCGACACCTAGTAGGCCTTTGCTTTCGATCAAACTCTCCAAAATTCCTAATTTGAGAGTTAGCCCCTGTTCTCACATGATCACCAAACCATATTTTTTTCTTCCCCAACACGTCCCCACCTAAACTCCCAAGCCTTCATGACATCTTTTTCTTCGGTTCATCTCAGGACACCACATTATCTTTCTTTCTCTCCCATCTTTGATTCTTTCTTAGCCTCTAAAAGTGAGTCAATGCTCAGGCTCTAGTTTTACATGATATATGACTCCATCTAATTACACGTGGTAATTGGTTTAGTAGCTTTAATAAATCATGTAAATCTGGATTTACTAAGTCTCGCCAATAACAAGATTTAGTAATCTAAGTTCTAAGTCAAAATTGTGAAGAACTTGAAATGTAACTAGATTTACTAATTCTAGGATTTAAAAGTTGTTATTTTTTGTCTGGCTTGAATTTAGTTAAATTTGACTTAAATACTTTATCATATAGCCTAATTCTTTCAAAGACTCTTAAGTGATTTTTTTTCTTATGTTTTGTTATTGTTAAATGTGTATCTTTGGAAATTTAATTTTTGTTGGAGTTATAAATGTCTCATTTTTTTTTCAGGCAGGGTGAGTGCTTGATTCCGACAAATTCACTTTATTTTCAATTAATGCGCTACACATTCGAGCATAAATATTTCTTTATTGCTATATTGTATAAACTTGCATTAGCTTAATGTTATATTGACTACAAAATGTTGAATATTTTCACAATTTATGCGGACATACAAATTTTTAGCACTCATATTCTTATGTTTCTTAGTATTGCGTTATACTTGTACCGGATGCCCAGTTATGCTGATTGAAGACTGGTATGGCTGGATCATGATTCTCACGCTCCAATATTTTTCTTCCCTTGTTCATATCTAGCCTTGCTATGCTCATTGAAATTTGATATGGCCTTATGTGGCAAATTTTGTGAAGTCCACTTTTTGCCTTGATTCAATAAATTTTTTCGCTCATGAACGCTTTTTTGAAATCACTCAAGCCCTCGCCTGTGTTTGAAAACTTCCTCTCTCTTACAAGTGTGAGCCCTCTCTAGGCACGGAAAATCCCTATCAAGCTTCTGAGCTCTCATTGTTTCTTGCATCAGCGCTCCCACGAGCATTTGCTCTAGAAGCTCATTCTAAGGCGAATTCTTTTGTAAATTTAGGAAGTTGTTTAGCTATACAATTTATGCTTGCATTTTCATAAATAATTATTTCATATATTTTTTACTTTATTATTATTAAATGGTTTGTCCCTTTTTGTCAAAATTTTATATTCCATTACTCAAATGCTTGAAATCAAAGCCATTCTTTTGTAACATTTATTTTATTATTGTTAAATGGTTTGTCTCTTTTTTTTCCCTAAATTTTATATTCCATGGCTCCAATGCTTGAAATCAAATCCATTCCTTAGTAACATTGAAAATTCTTGTTTTGTTTGGCCATTCATGCTAAACTTTGTTATTGCTAATGCACACTTTATTCTAGCCATTTTTAAAAATTCAGCTATTAATCATATGACAAGGTTAAGGATTATTTTTTTTGTAACTTTTACATTTAGTAGATATTGGACTAAGCAATGAACTAAGCTAAAGAAAAATATGAAGGTGAGAAGTGTAAAACTATTAAACTCTTTGAGGACATGCCAATTTTTTTTAATAATAGATTGAAATGGTCTATCATTGTCTAAAAGGCCTTGCTTTTGAGCTAAACTACAATGCTTGTTGAACATTTCTCGAATATTACAAGACTATCCTAAGTGTAATTGAGGTAATAGAAATAGTTAAACAATTTAGTGGAAGTTGTCGAAGTGAAGTGGTTGTCATAAATCTCAGTTATAATCTGACCAGCAGTTTTCCATTAATTGAAAGATACTTAGATATAAGAAAAGAGGTAATGTGTCTGCAAAGTAAATAATTTTAAGATTTTAGTCAGACATTGGAGTACTATCAAACAATTTTTGATAGTAGTGATAATAGTACCACTGAACTTTATGCCTACACTGGGGATTTTAACTTGTCAAGTTGGAGAAGATATAAAAGCTTTATTAAATTATGCTCATTTTCTGGAGTATACAAGTTTCAAGTAGGTTCTTTTCTCCAAATCCATTAGAGAATAATGATAGGTCCAAACTATTCTTGGGTATGTTTATTAGTCGAACATCTTGTTCGTGATTCATAATTACTCTGTGTTTTTCGCTATTGTTTTATTTTTCTGGTCGTTTAACAAAGCAGCGTCATCAAGTAAACAGTTTAGTTGCTTTTGTTTCAGGTTATAAAATGCTGAAAATTAGAACACCAAAGACTCCGAAAGCAAAAAGAGCACTTGTTAAGCGCGCACCTAAACTGGTAATTATTTATTAGTGTTTGCATCATGAGATATCAGATATTGACTATGATATTGGAATAAAAATTTCTTCCCCATATTTTTGGGTCTCCATGTTTTTTTCAGGTAGAAAATGCCAAGAAGACTCTCATACTCCATGGTACAAAAACAAGTAATGTCTTGAATGCTGTGTTAGGTCAGATTTTTCATTTGAAAAAGGGACTTGCTGTAAAGTTCAGTAAGAAGAATGAGAAAATAACGCCCTTTGAAAGGAGTGGAGAAGCATCTTTGGAATTCTTCTCAGTCAAAACTGACTGTAGTCTTTTTGTGGTAATTATTAATTCTACCTGGATTGGGACATTTATAAGGCTAATGCTTTTTTTTTAGTTAAAAGTGGATAATTTTATTTGCTCTGTTTAACGTAATGATAATTTTATTTTCTCTGTTTAACGTAATTTAATACATTTCTTTCATGTTTTTGTCGTAGAAAAAAATTAGTGTAGAGCTGTTTTAAAGCATCTCTTGTTTGCCAAATTGATCATTTTGTTTTGCATCTGTTTAAAATTGTTGCTGATGATTGTTAGTCAGTTGATAACATCAATAATTGTGTAGTTCTTCGGAATGGTTACTGAAAAATTTTATTGGGCAACATGTAATCCCGGCTAGCGTACTGCTTTTAATTCCTTGTAGTTTTTATCATTCCTTTTCTCTTACCATACAACAACCATACTCCAGCTTTTCACAGTTTAGTATTTATTGCGACAAAAGAATTAGTTCTTTCTTTTAATCAGCAGGGGAATACTTTAATCAGGAGAAAGTGACTCTAAGGGTGCTTTTTCTTTCCATGTAAATAAATCACGCATTTTTGGGCTATTTTTATTTCAATACCAATTCAAGTTATGTAGGACGTGATTTGGCCAAGCAAGTTCTGCCATAGTTCAGTGGCCATGCTTAGTTGTCGTAATGCCAACTAAAATTTGTATGCCTACGTTTTCATTTATTTTATATGTATTTTATTTTTCATGATTTTATAAAAGTAAACATTCAATGGGGAATGCAATGTGTTCATTTTCAAGTTGATGAGTTGATTTGTTTTACATCTTTAAAACATAAATTTCATGGACTTGAAGCACATACATCAGAGTCTCAATGCCAAATTGATCTCAAATTTTAAAGCTTAATTTTCCCTTCTTTGTTTTCATCTATGTGCTTTTAATCTGAACTTCCGTAAAGGTGTAGCCTTTGTTCAAATGAACGTAATGATGAACTCCTTTCTATTGTAATTCCTAAAGATATTTTTGTGAGTATTATATGCTAGTTGACTGATTGCCTTCATATATGTTAACTGAGTGTTCGATTGAGAGTGGAGAGTGGGAAATAGCATTTTCTACTTCTGGTAGAGGTGAACACTTTTCTATGAAGACTATTTGTTTCTAACTGGCTTCACTATATAAATGAATTTAACTTATTTAGTATGATACATTTATACATGATAATGATACATCAATGTAAATATTGGAAGATTTACATGCCTGCCATTAAATTTTATTTATTGCATGTTTAACACCAAAACCTTTTTACTTTTTTTCTATATTACCCTTGTCTAAATCCTGCAAAGACTATGCATTAAAATGTGCATTTCAATTTCAATAAATTAATTTTATTGGCATTTTTTATGTGATTTAGATATATGGTTTTGTATGAATAAATATTAAGATTTATATATTATAAATGTACATACATAAGTGGTATGTATGTAAATCTCTCTTCAATTAATGGGTTTAGCTCTAACATAGTCCCCGAAAATTTATAAATTTTATATGAACTCAATTTAGTCTCAGATTATCTTATTTCTCCAATTTAGTTCTTTGATTGTATAATGTTGCTTCCAAATGATCCCTTTTGGGAGCGAAATGAGATATTTAATAACATTTTTGACATGAAAGACTATTTTGGATCAATTTTGTACAATTGAAGGAGTAAATTGGAGAAATATGATAATCTGAGACTAGATTGGTTGCACAGGCATAGTTAGGGGATTATTTTGCGATTTAATCATTAATTTATATATTCCCATGACAATGTAGGTATTCGTGAATAAATGCGAATGCATACCTGAATATTGTTATAAATTTTTGTATACAAGTCATTCAACTTTTTACATATTATAATAGTTTAAATATTATAATTTTTATTAGGAATCTTTTCATGCATATCACACAATTCTTATGTATTTACACATCTAACATCTAAATTTTCATTATTATATTTATAACACTTTGGTGACGCAAACTTATGCATGAAAAGGTGTATTTCATTTTTAAAAGTAACCATTAGTGCTATTTTTAATGTGATATTAAAGATTTGAGTGTTAAGATGTAAATATGAAACTTTAAGTGTTTGATATGTAAATAAATAAGAATTGTGTGGTATGTATGTAAATGACCCTTTTATTTAATCAACATGTTAATTTATTTACATGTATTTCAAATAAGTTTCTTTATGCATTACTTCATCATGTATTATAACAACATTTATATTTATTATTAATATAACAACAACAAAAACAAGCCTTTATCCCACTAACTGGGTTTGGCTTCAAGAATCCTTTTTCTCCATTTCGTCATTTTGAGTGTCATATTTTCATTTAATTCTAATAGATTAAAATCATTTTTTATACAATATGTGCAAGTCTTTTTAGGTTTACCTCTGCCTGTCTTAACATCTGTCAAATCTAAAACGTCTACTCTCCTAATCGGCTCCTCAGATGCTCGACGTTTAATGTGACCAAACCATCTAAGTTGACTCTTTCTAATCTTGTCTGTCACTGGAGCTCCAACTCTTTCAAGGATATATTCATTTCCCATTTTACCTCTTATGTGTCATACCACTCATCCAACTAAGCATTCTCATCTCAGCAACACTTAACTTTGTTTTAAAGGCCAACATTCTGCGCCATAGATCATTGCAGGCCTCACCACCATCTTATAAATTTTTCCTTTCAGTTTAAGCAGTATTTTTCTATTATTAATATAAATATATTTTAATGATTTGCTTAGAGTATAAATCTTTATATTGCATTTTATAGGAATGCCATTGATATAATCTGAATGTCTATTGTAATATATCATATGATACATTATATTGTTTGGTTGTAAGAGTGTTTGTCTGCATTCATGGGCACTTGTTTTTTAGGAAGATGAGAGCATCTCATTTAGTGACCTCCGTAAGTGATTTTAGTGCGATGAGCCTAGGAATTATTTTTATTACTTATTTGCTAAGAAGTTGCCTTTTTCTTATCCCCTCCTACCAAAAATTTGAGGTGCTACACTTTCTCACATTTCATTTCTGGCTTCCTTCTTCTTAAAGTACAATCAAGCAAGCTTTTAGTGGATAACTTTTTCGTGCTCTGTCGATGATGAAGTTAGTCTAGCGGCCTTCAAAAGCTTCAAAATTCAAACCTTCTTTTAAGGGTACTATACCTAAGTTAAAGGGAGATCTTTATGTAAAAACATTTCTTTGTTTTTCTTTGTGAGCTCATATAATTTTCTGAGAAGCAACATTCTTCAGTGGTAAGTTAGTGTAGTTTATTTATATCTTTTCATTGTTGACTTGGTTGTGGATTCACATGAACACAATTCTTTTCAGGTTTGAACCATTTTACTTTTGATATAACCCCGGCTTGTTTATAATTTGGTTGAGGTTTATTTTTTGGTGCTTTATATAATTTGTTGTTGTTGTTCAGGGGACATTTTTGTTGATCTTTATCATTAGAGATAACTGAGTTTTTTCCTGTAGTTTGGTTCAAATTCAAAAAAAAGGCCCAACAATCTAATTTTTGGGCGGATGTATGATCATCACATTTATGATCTTGTTGAAGTTGGAGTGGAGAACTTCAAGCCTATTGAATCATTCAAATATGACAAGAATATCGCACCTCAACAAGGCTCAAAACCCTTCTTTACTTTTATAGGAGAAGGCTTTGAGAGTGTTGACGAACTGAAGCATTTAAAGGAGGTCTTACTTGATCATTTCAAGGGAGAGGTAAGCATTTAAAGGAGGTCTTACTTGATCATTTCGAGGGAGAGGTTTGATATTTATTATAATTTTTGTGGAAGATTTACATACGTCTATACTTCAATTTATATATATCTATCTTGTGTGTGAATACAAGTGGTTTGTATGCAAATGCCCCTTTTTTTTATTTGTACCCCTTACTTTTTCTTTTCCCCATATATTGTTATTTTTCCAATTTTTTCACTCAGGAAGCTAATTGTTTTTGCAGGTTGTTGAAAATCTGAACCTTACTGGAGTAGATAGGGTATATTTGTGCACTGCTATTTCATCCACTACAGTGTTGTTCAAACACTGCGCTATTCGACTTAAGAAGTCTGGCACATCCATTCCTAGAATCGAGCTTGTAGAAGTTGGTCCCTCAATGGATCTTGTTGTTCGGCGACATCGTCTCCCGCTTGAAGGTCAAATGAAACAAGCAATGAAAGCTGCACCCACACAGCCGAATAAAGTTAGTCTAAACTTCTCTAAACTATGCTTCAAGCTAGTGGCGTTGCATTTGTTCTTCTATTTAAGTTACTATTTTGTTTTGGCTGGATAATCTTTTAGTCCCTGACCATAGTTTATAGGCATTTTAATCTGTTCTATAAATGTTAATTAATTCTGTCAATTAAGACAAGCTCAGAACTTAGAAGCAGTTTTGTTTTACTTCTACTAGAGTCTGCCTCCTGTGCTATTTCTCATGGCCTGTATTCCATAGGGATTATTTAATCAAATTGTATTAAGTACCGTTGGAAATGGCTCTATATTGAATACCTTGAAATAGTCCTCGTATATCCAAGGATCATGAATATCAAGGATAATTGATCCAAATTTAATTAGAATGAGTTTTACAGTTATTAGATTTGTTTTGAGATTAGTGCAATACAATTGCTAATCAGGTAACGCTTATATTGAACTCTTTCAAAATAAATTTAATAGCTATAAAATTCATTGTTAGAAATTTTTGTCCGGATATTATGATGTAAACATTTTGCAAACTTATGTAAACCATCAAATTTACCCAAGTTTGCAAAAGATATTGATAGGCTTGATAATTTTTAAATTTAGTAGCTGAGCTAGTTTTCATTTTCATGCAGATTAAAAATGTCAGCCGAGATGAAATACAGGGTAAAGTGGGGAAAATATACATCCCAGATCAACAGGTATATTTTTAATAACATATGTAGATTATTAACTCTCTCATTTTGAAGAACAAGGGGCATTTACATACCACACAATTCTAATGTATTTACATATCTAACTCCTAAATTTTCATATTTACATGCATAACACCCTAATCTTTAACATCACATGAAAATTACCACTACTGCTAACTTTTTATAAGTGAATAATTATACCTTTTCTTGCATAAGTTCATGACACCAAAGTGTTCTAAATGTAAGGTGTTAGATGTGTAAATACAAAGGAATGTGTGTTATGCATGTAAATTTCTCAAACAAAAAAATGACAAGAGAATCCTGATTCAATTTTTGTTTTGAGATTAATTTACAGTGCCTTTGAAGTTCTCTATGATCAAATTTGATTTATGATATCTTTACGCCTATTTTCTTTCTTTAGTTTCTCTCGTCATCTCTATCCCATGTGATTTAATTGAGCTGCTTTTTAGGTTGGAGGTCTTGCGTTATCTACTAAGATGAAGGGATTTAAGAGGAAACGTCGGGAGGGTAAACTGAGTAATGATATGAGAGATGATCTATCAAAGAAGATGAAGATAGAATCTCAGTGAGTTGAAATTTTTTTTTTTCACGCCATAAATATTTGAAAAGACTGCCCCAGCGGTGTTTAGGGGCCTAAATTATTGTCATATTTATTAGGGATGATTTTGTGAATTAGGGAATATGTGTACTTAATTTTGGAAAAGAATTTTGAAATTTTGAGCATTTGTTTTTTCATTACTTTGGAGGAATATAAAATGTTTATGAAAATTTTTAAATACCAAGTCTCAGGTGGTCTGTATGTAATTATCCCCCCCCCCCCCCCCCCTTTTTTTTTTTTTTTTTTGACATAATTACATACAGAACACTCGAAACATTGATATTCACAAATTTACCCTACAGATGGTTTTTTTTAACTCTTGAACTGATGCATTTACACGTCACGATCAAACTATTGAGAATTTGATAAAATGAAAAATATGGGTTGGGATTTTACCATGAATTTTGATATTTGATTGAATTTGATAAATGGATGAAAGGGGGTGGTTAATTTGTAAATCCCAATTTTCAGGTGGTCTGTATGTAATTGTCCCCTTTTTCTCTTAAAGTTTTTGGTTTAAAGAAACAAAATTTCTGGTTTTTGGTTTCAATGTCAATTTTAATTTTCAATGCCATTTGTTCGCGACATTGTGGTTGGGTTTAATGTAAAACGTAGTTGTATTGTAATATAAGATGAAATATTCGATGTGTGTAGTTTAGGGGCGATTACATACAGGACACCCAAAATAATGCTATTTACAAATCAAGTATCTATATTTCATACTTTGCTATTTACCCTAAAAGTATTTGAGTCCCCAAAACATAGCTATTTTGTAAATAGTAATGTTTTGGGCATATATAATGGTTATATTCACCCTAAACACTTTTTATATAATTTTTTTGGGACTAGGAAAATCATATTTTTAGGTAATAGTGGGAATAATTGTTGATGCATTGCTAATATGCTCGACCGTTTTTCTTTGGTGTGATCTTTGGTGAGATGGAGTAGATCATAATTTTTATAAGCAATTTCATTAGAAAATGCCGATATAATTTATATTAATTGATAATAATTTGATAATTCCTAAATACTAAATTTTGAGCCCTAAACCTTAAACATTAAACCACAAAAAACCACATTTCACAAAAAATTTTAGTAGCTATAAATTTAATCACTTTGGACTTCATCAAAAGTAATGTCATTTGTAAAGCGCTTATAAGAAAAAAATTAAATCATTTTTGAAATAAAATAATATTAGAAATAATAAAGTAGGGAAGAAAATTTTGATAACCAGGGTTTGAATAAATTTCATGGGCCATTACAGACAATTTTACAAACCACACTAACCAAAACACGAACTAAATAAATAAATCAAACCGTGTCTGAAGCTTCAGAGCCCTTCAAAGAAAAAAAAGAGCTAAACATATCAGCAGTACATAGAAAAAGTGAAATTATAAAATTATACCAATAATATAAGAAATACAATAGGAATGATTGCAGTAAACAGAGAAATAATAGAAATCTTCATAGAAGATAACAATGATGAAGATCAATAAACAAACCTACAAAGGGAGATGAACATTAATGAAGTTCACCTGGGCAACTAATAAATTAAGGGGGCATAAGAAACTATCAGAAGCCTCCATAAAATATTTGCTCTTGGGAATGTATACGATACATGTACAACATGGTTCACATACATACCCAATGGTAGAATAAAAATCCAAAGCCCAATGTTTGGCTTTAAGCAAGATTGCCTTAAAGCCTTTGAAAATTTAAAGGAAAAATTGATCACTGCTCCTATAATCACTAGACTAGGAGAAACCATTTGAATCAATGTGTGATGCTAGTGATTATGCAATTTGAGCAGTTTTAGAGCAGAAATATGATAAGATTTTATGATAAGATTTTTTTTATAGTTTTATACTACGCTAGTAAGACTCTCAATGATGCTCAAATTAATTATACCACAATTGAAAGAGAGTTATTAGTCATTGTGTATGCTTTTGATAAGTTTAGATTATGTTTGATTGGAACTAAATGTATTGTGCATACTGACCATTCTGCTATTAAATATTTGTTAGAAAAGACGGATGCAAAACCAAGATTAATTAAATGGATACTTCTGATGCAAGAGTTTGATTTTGTAGTAGTCGACGGGAAAGGGACTGATAATCAAATAGATGATCATCTATCAAGGTTAGAACAGAAAGAAATACTTGATCTGGACAGAGAGATTAAAGATACTTTTCCTGATGAACAAGTTTATGCTGTAAAAGGGTAGGAAATACATTGATATGCTGATATTGTGAATTATATTTTTAGTGATATTTTACCATATTGATTGACAAAACAATATGAAAAGAAATTCATTTATGATGCAAAATCTTATTTTTGGGGTGATCCTCATTTGTGTAAACAATGTAAAGATAAACAATGTAAAGATTTAGTAATGTAAAGATTTAGTTATAAGACGACGTGTGCCTTATAAAGAAATTCAGGAGATTATGCAAAAATGTCATGATTCTGAATTTGGAGGATATTTTGAGAATGATAAAGCTGCTTGAAAAATTTTACAATCTGGATTTTATTGGCATACCCTATTTAGAGATATTAATATATATATATATATATATTGTGATCGGTGTCAGAGAGTAGGTAATATTTGAAAAGAAAATGAAATGCCTCTAAATTTTAATTTTGAAATTGAAATTTTTGATGCATGGGGATTGTATTTTAATTCATGCCTTCATTTGGATATATATATATATATATATATATTGATTGCGATGGATTATGTTTTAAAATGGATAGAAGCAATATCTTTACCTAGATGTGACGCTCATAGTGTTTCAAAATTTTAATTAAACATATTTTTACAAGATATGAAATGCCGAGAATAATTATTACTAATGGAGTATCTCATTTTAGAAATGCAACGGTTGCAAGATTGATTCAAAAATATAATATAGTACATAAAATTGCAACTGCTTATCATCCTCAGAGTAGTGGTTTAGCGGAAGTATTTAATCGTGAAATTAAGAGAATTTTGGAGAAGAGTATTAATCCTAACAAAATGGATTGGTCTATTAGATTAGATACTACATTATGGGCATATATGACAGCTTATAAGACACCTATATAAATGTCCCCATTTAGATTAATATTTGAGAGGACTTATCACTTACCATTTGAAATGGAACATAAAGTTTACTGGGCAATAAAAGAATTTAATTTCAATTTAAAAGAAGCTGGGGAGAAAAGATTATTGCAATTTAATGAGCTTGAAGAAATTAGGAATGAATCTTACAATAATGCGATGATTTATAAGGAAAAAATAAAAGAATGACATGATCGAAAGATAGTAAAAAAAGAATTTGAAATTGGACGGGAAGTTTTATTATAGAATACAATATTGAAATTATTTCCTATAAAATTGAAGTCTAGGTGGAAAGGGTCATTCAGAGTTATAAGAGTTTATCCTTATAGAGCAGTCAATATTGAAGATCCCAAAATTGGAAGAATATTTAAAGTGAATGGGCACAAATTAAAACCTTATTTTGATGGTTGATGACCAAATACTAAAGAGACTATCATGTTTGATCACTCAAAATGAGACTGGGGATATCGGGCTGAGGACATTAAACCAAACGCTTTGTGGGAGACAACCCATATGTATTGTTGTTTACTTTTATTTTTGAGTTTTTGTTTAAAATATTATATTTTTATTTATGTTTATGTCTATATGAAATCCATGCATATGAGAAAAATGTTTAGAAACATCTTTGTTTGTCTAATGTTGTGAAAAGACTGAGAATTTATTTGATCAAAATTGAAACGGCCAAAATTTTGGAACTGGCGCATGAAGTGCCGAATTCTAGAAAGCTGGCGCATGATGCGCTACGGAGACGAAAATGACTTCAAATTTTTCAAATGGCGATTTTTGACGGTTTTTAGCGGAGACACCTTCAAATAACTCCTAAAAATAGACTCTAAGACATATTTTAGGGTGGGAAAATGAGGGAAGAGCTCCACTTTTCAATTCCTATGGCTTCCCACTCTAGAAACTCCGCTAGATTTGGAATTTTCAACCAAAAAAAGTTCATCAGTTTCAATGCACAAAATTTTCATGATCGAGTTATAATGAAGAAGAGGCTTATCAAGAGAGGGGATTTGTGAATCGAGGATTCAAGACGCCGAATACCACTATTTATTGCGCAGAATTTGTGAATCGAGTGGAAGAATTTATTGTGCAGAGGCGTTGGAAAGTGTTTTGCTACACTACTGCCAATGTAGTCATCCCTATGTTAAAAGAATTTTATGCAAATCTTCATGGGATCAACCAAGGAATGATCTACGTGTGAGGTAGGTTTGTGCAGTTCACTCCTTCGAGAATCAACGAAATGTTTATGATCGAGAACTTGCCTGTCTACCATTATGCGAATTTTACCCCTACAACAGACAACATGAATGACCTCTACCGCTACCTTACAGATGAAGATGCTAATTAGGAAGCCTGAGATGATGAGAATGTGAGTTTTTCTGCATCATTATTAAATCGTACTTTTAAGGCATGACATTTCTTCATTTCCTCAAAATTATCGCCTACTATGAAAACTAGTAAGGTCACTAAGGAGAGTGCTATCCTTAATTACTGTAGTGAGTTTTTTTGCATCATTGTTAAATTGTATTTTAAAAGCATGGTGTAAAATTAGCTATTATTTTGAAATTAGTTTTGGTTTGATTGTCAATGGATCTACAACTGGACTTGGACATCCAATTTTCCTTTTCCTACTATGCAGTCAATCACAAGTACTTTATGAAAGTTGGGAGAAAGTACTACTGCCTTGGAAGCCGATAGATCCTGAAGTCTACTGCAGTTGCATTGGAGAAGGAGATGAAAATGATATGAATGTACTAATGGATCAAGGTTCCCATAATTCATCACCTATTCAGCCTTACTCAGCCTTACTACAAGCCTTACTACAAGTTGAGTGCACTTTCAAAGAGAATCAAGAAGATAGAGAAAGAGATGCATAATTTTATGCATGCAATTGAGAATATCTCTGAAATGCTGGATCAACTGGAATAGAGACTCAAGGAAAATTTTGAACATATAGAGCGTATTGAAGATGGTCCGGTACGTATGTTCAATAAGCATGTGTGGATTGAGGAGGAAAATTCAATTGATGATATTC